ATAAAGACATTCTCCTCAAGTTCTCCATTTAAAAAAACATTCTTTAAATCTAGTTATCGTAAAGGCTAATCTAAGTTAGCGGCAAGAGATAGAAGTACACGTACCGTATTGATTTTTGCAATAGGAGCAAAAGTCTCTTAATAATCTACACTATAGGTTTGTGTATAACCTTTTGTGATTAGTTTAGCTTTATATCTTTCAATAGTACCATTGGCCTTGTATTTCACTGTGACGACACACTTACATCCAATAACAACTTTATCTTTTGGCTTTTCCACCACATCCCAAGTCCGATTCTTTTCTAATGCACGTATTTTTTCTAAAATAGCAGCTTTCCATACTAAATTTTTCTAGACTTCACCCACTGTCTTTGGAATCTCTACCTTTATCATATTTGTAACAAACGTCTTGTAATGTTCAGAGAACTTACTATACCCAACAAAATTTGAGATTGGGTGATGAGTGGAAGACCTGATTTCCTTTCTCACATCCATAGGAACTTCCAGGTCATGATTCTCAATATCTGAATCCAAATTTGGGGTTTGAGATTACAGGGGTTCAACGTTCTTGGTTTTCTTTCAATTTTTTCTTCTTAAATAAGTTAATAGATCTTTGACTCTATGATTGATAATAGAGATAGGCTGTAATGTTTTTCCTGATGGTAAATTTGTGTTTATGGTCTCAGTTTTGATTAAGGAGAGTATTTCATTATTTTTCATCATAAATTCTGATGTATACTGATTATGATTTTCTGTAACTTTTGGAATTTGTAGGACAGGATCCCAGTTCAACTCCCACGGGTTTGAGGCAAGGTTTGGTGTGATGGGATTTGATTTTTAGATTGAATCTAAAATTTTCTCATTTAAATCCATATATGGAGATTTGGATTTTAAATATGGAAAAATAATCTCACCATTGCCCATTTTAAATTGTTCCTAGAAATTTAGATCACTCCCACTCTCCTCTTGAGACAAATTTCGGTATAAAAAGTCTGATTCTCAAAAAAAATAATATCAGTAGAGATATAATATTTTTTTTTTTGGACAATAACACCGATAACCTTTTTAAGTAGCAAAATATCTAAGAAAAATATATTTTAGGGAACAAGGGTCTAATTTCGACCTCCCTTGACTAGACACATGAACAAAAGCGACACTTTCAAAAATCCTACACTCTAGTTGAGAAAAAGCATGGTAATTAAAAAAGAAAGTCGAGAAATGTTCAAGTGGTGTTCTATAGTTTAGTATTTTTGATGGAAGTCGGTTAATCAAGTAGCACGCAGTTAAGATTGCATCCCCCCCCTCCCCCCCCAAGAAATGTTTTGAAATGTTTGCTGAAAACATGAGGGTACGTGTAACATCAAGGTGGTAGTTTTTCCTCTCAGCCACACCATTTTGTTTTCGAGTATCGATACATGAGTTTTTGTGTAAAATACCATTGGTTCAGAAAAAATCACCAAAAATAGAATTGAAGTATTTTGTACCATTATCGGTACGAATAATTCGAATTTTTGTATCAAATTGTGTTTGAACCATCTGGTAGAAATTCTTAAAAACTAATGAAGCATCTAATTTATCTTTTAGAATATAAACTCAAAATACCCGGGTATGATCATTAATAAATATGATGAACCACCTTTGAGAGGAAAGTATAGAAACACGTGAAGGGCACCAAATATCCCTATGTATGAGGGTAAAAGGTGTAGATAGATGATAATTTTGAGTGGGTAAGAATGCGCGAGTGTGTTTTTCCAATCGACATATATCACATTGAAACATTGGACTTTTATTTGAAAATAACTCAAGAAACAAATGTTTCATATAGGTAAAACTTGGATGACCCAATCGAAAATGTAATAACATTATTTGTTTTTAACAGAAATGGTAGACAGACACATAGAAGAGCCAACATTATTCATTAGTGAAGAAGAAATCGAAAGATAGTAAAGACCGTTTGAGACCTTAGCACTGTCAATCCTCCTCTCCGTCTTCAAAACCTGAAAAACACAAGCATTTTTTGATAAATTAACACCACATTGCAGGTCAATAGTTAGCTTACATATAGAAACTAAATTATAGGTTAATTTTGGAACATGAAGAACATCCTGCAAAAAAATTATACGTGATAGGCGAATAGTTTCTTTGCTAGTCACTGTAGAAAAAGCTCTATTTGCCAATTGAACCTTTTGTTGTCCTAAACTAGGTGAATAAGACAGAAAAAATGGGAATTACCGGTCATGTAATCGGTAGCCCCGAAATCAACAATCCATTGCTCACCTGAATTTAGCATACTTGCAACAGAGGGTTCCGAAATACCTAGCCTTGCCATGAGAGAAGTGCTTGTGGCAGAATTATTTGTGACAAAGGTAGAAGAATTGGAAAGAAGGCTACATAAGTGTTCAACTTATGTTTTTGTGAAATTAACAACTCCTGATTTATTAGTCGGTGTTGCTACTCCTTTCTTTTTTAACCGATTTGGTACAAAATTCTTAAACTTTCCATGAATCAGCCAACAAGCCTCCTTTGTGTGATATACCTTATTGCAATAGTCACACCAAACATGTTTTTTTGCAGAATTTTGTGATCGATTGGAAGGAGAACGGTTCACAGCAAGAGCAGAGGCATCCAATTGGACAGCCACAGTATCACCAAGCATAACTCAATGACGATGATATTCATGACGAACCTCTACAAAGATTTCATCTATGGATGGTAAAGGCCGCACACCCAGGAAACGGCCACGTACATCATCCAACTTTTTATTTAAACTACTTAAAAAATCATATATACGATCTTTTTGGATTAGTTTATTGAAAAGATGAACATCGGCAGGATCATTCCAGGGGGCTGAATGAAACATTTCAACCTCTTGCCACAATTTCCGCAAGTTGCTATGATATTGAGTTGCATCCATATCACCCTGATAAAGGTTGCGTACGCAATTTTGCAATTCAAACAACTGTGATGAATTTTCCAAATCGGAATAAGCAAGAGTGACAGCATCCCAGATCTCTTTTGTCGTGGAATGAAAAAGATATGTTTCACCCATCTCATCATCTATAGAATGAATTAACCACACCATGACTAAGGAATTGTTAGCGTCCCATAATGCATACGAGGGATCATCAACATCCGGACGAGTAGAGGAACCGTCTATGAAGGTTATTTTCCCTTTTCCCTTAATCACTAAAGCTGGCGAACGAGACTATTGCAAGAAATTTTTCCCATTCAATTTTTTAGTGGTGATCTGTGAAGTATAAGAAGTATTTTCTGTAATAACAGCAGGAACAATTGTGGAAACAGGTTGAAAAGCTCCAGATTGAGCCTCCAAATCGTTTTTTCTTATCCCTGATATGGTTCTCTCAACTTATGAGTTAACTTTTTTTTTTTTGCTCTAATACCATAAAAGAGACTAACAAAAAAAAAAAAACCTTATGTTTATACTGTACTGATTTGAATAATTTTCACTCTTAAAAAGATAATAATGTACAGCAGTATTATATAGCCGAGTAAGAGAAATATACAAATCTTAATTAATGGAATTCTGCCATCCTAATTTAATCATTCTAAATATAAAAGATTTACAATATACTATAAAATATTCCTATATCCTAAAAATACAACCAATCATATTAAATATAAAATAAATAATTAATTCTGAAATTACAGTCAATTATCTTAAATGTAAAATAAAAAAATAATTGACTTTCTTTCAGTTCTGGAAACTAAATAAATTTAGTTGGAGAAGAATGAAGATATTTAGTAGTAGAGTCCCAAAATTGGGATTCTTGTAAATTTTTCTCCACTTGAATACTAATTTTGTAGTATGATTGGTTTTCATGAAGGTGTCATCTATGAAATTATAGAACTTTCAGATGACTGGTGAATAACACTTATATTATCTCTTTTGATTTAATGAATACGCAACGAAAGTGCATGTTATTGAATTGCATTCTAATTTACTTCTATGATAGTTGTGCATGCGAATAAAGGTTAAACAACCAAAACTTTGATAAGTATGGCAGGTAGAAGTCAAGTGGTCGGAAAGTGTTGGAGCATAACTAAGTAAAATATTTGAAACTCAAAAAATCTAAGAAGACAATCTATTGATAAGGTAAATTGCAGTTAGAATAACTTCTTCCCATAAAAATTTTGGAACTTGAGTTGTGAACATTAATGACCGAGCAACTTCAAAGAGATGTCTATTCTTCTTTTCGGGTATGCGATTTTGTTGAGAAGTACCAACACATGAACTTTGATGGACAATCCCATCTTTTTTAAGATACATATTCAACTCTTTTTCAAAGTATTCTTTTGCATTGTTTGTCTCCAACACTTATATTTTTATTTGCAATTAAGTTTGAACCATGTTGTTGAATTTTCTGAATATATGGCTAATTTCTTATTTTTCTTTCATGAGAAATAGTCATGTAATTCTTGTATGATCATGTATAAATGATATAAATCATCTAAGTACCAGTAATATTGTTGATTCTAGATGGTCTCAAATATCTAAAAACAGAACCTTTATGCTCTTAATGTTTTGCTTCCACTCGATAAGAGATGAAATTTTTATTTTTATTACCAAATTATTAAGGGAAAATATTCACACTTTTATTGAGACAAATATTGAAATATATCTAGAGTTTAGATACATTTTTGTTAGCTGAAACTGAATTAAGCATGTGTAGAAATAGTCTTTCCGTGTTGATGGAAGAAATACCAGAACAAGATCATGTTACAATCAAAGAACAAAAAAAGCAGACAAAGTGCTTGTTGAACCTACCAAAGGAACATGTTGGAATATCAACACCAGCAGTAGCCAATATTTCTTTCATTTCAGATTCAACTAATGATAGGATTGCAGCAGGATTAGGCCAATCTATTCCATTCATTGGAACTGGTTTCCAGATACCACGAGTTACCTCAGCAGAAAAGTAACTAATAATAGCAGCTAGAGAAGCAGGCAGGAAGTCAACAAGGTCCCTCAGGCCTGCAAGAAAGAGCTTATTAGAAGTTATATTACATACAACAAAAAATTAAATAAATAAATAATTCACCTTAGTTGAACTGATAACAGGATAGAAAATGCTAATAAATGAAAGGAGAACGGATAAACTAGTAGTCATGACTATGAAAATGAAAATCAATTAATTGACTGAGGTAGGAAAAACTTGGAGGCCAAAATTTTGTTTTTCGCTAACCTGTAGTTAAATCCCGAGAGGAAAGCCATCCATGGGCACAAGCAGTTAGAATTGCTTCAAGAACAAATGGGAGAGCTTCCAAGACCTCCCATGCAGCAAGTAAAGGTCTTTGGTAAGCATCTTCGCCAGTACTTGTTGGAGACCCACACATGCTGCTGCTTGATGGAGTTGAAGAATTGCCCGATGAAGCACCAATTTTAGTGATTTTCCAGTAAATCATATTTAAAATCTTATTTGCAACTTGATGAACAGGACTTCCAGCAGAAAGGCCAGAAAGTGTTGAAGCTATACAGGATTTGTTTTGGCAATACCAAGCTCGTAATTTTGGAAAATTGTCAATATATACAGGTTTCTCTGAAGCATATTCAAGTTGGTCCATAGCGCTTTTTATTTCATCTGGGACTGGAGTGTGGTGTGATGTAATGCGGCTATTGCATAGTAATAAAAGATATTCCAGAGAAAGGTCGACTCCAATTGCTCCACTAGTTATACATTGCTCAAGTGGGGGCCTGTAGAATTTCCATAGGCGAAGAAGAAAGAGAAAAGCAGATGAAAAAACCATGTAAACTGAGGGCTCATCACCTGCATTTGATCTATTACTAGATGTAGGTGTAAGGGACCCAAAAACCTCACACAGTGGTAATAAGGCAGCCGCAACTTCAGGAACCTGTCAAGCCAAAGTTCAAATTCAATAAGAATGCATAACTTGCTACAGTTTACCAATATCATTGCAATAATAAAAGATCTAGGGGGAAAATGAGGTATAAAGAATACCTATCAGCAACAGAGCTGTAGAGAGTGCTTCAAGTGACAAATACTTCAATAAATGTCCCCATATAATTTTGTATAGCCAGGAATTGGAAAAAAGAAAATGGATTCACTTACCACACCATGCAGAGAAAGTATATGAACTGTGTCAATGGAGGAAGCTCCAAAAAGGATAGCACTAAGCATGGGCATGTAATCAATCAAGTGGCTCCCTTGCGTGGTATAACCAGGAGGTATTGGAGGAGAAAGAAGCTTGACAACAAAGTGCACCACATGTTCCTGCCAAGAGAAAACAAAATTTTAAATCACCCACCCTCAAATAAAGAGAGAATGCATAATGACAATCACATGAATACTCCCCAGGTTTATGTTCAGTTGACTCGGGAAATTTGTTTCTTGATCCTGTCCTTAATTGATCGCACTTCTACATTCTTAGTAACAACTCTCTGCTTCATTATATGTTCATTTAATTTGAAATCACCCACCCTCAAATAAAGAGAGAATGCATAATGACAATCACATGAATACTCCCCAGGTTTATGTTCAGTTGACTCGGGAAATTTGTTTCTTGATCCTGTCCTTAATTGATCGCACTTCTACATTCTTAGTAACAACTCTCTGCTTCATTATATGTTCATTTAATTTGTTGTATTAATCAGTTTATTCTTGTATGGCCTGAACAGTTTCTGAGAGTAACAAAAAATTGCCAACAACATTAAGCCAACCTATGAATGCAAAATTCTTAAAAGATCTCATTAAAGTTGAGGCCTGCTCTACATATTTTCTCAAAACAACTTCCTCTTATGTGCTCCATGATTCTATATATGCATATTAACTTCGACCTCCTTTTGTTACCTATACTTAATGCAGGAAAATCAAAATTATCATTTTCATATATTTCTTTTCCTTAAATTCGTAAGTGTTCCTTATTCAACTTCAATAAGAAAGCTCAAAAGTCTATATCATTTCCTTTAGAACGAAAACATACATTGTTACCACAAAGGCATCAAGGGGTGCCCACCTATGGACCAAAAGAGAAAGTTTACGAGGTCTTATTCGTCAAATATCTATTAGGTCTTCTCACCCTATATATATATATATATATATATATCATGTATTCTGTGCAGTAGGATCTCAAGAAACCTCAACCAGTCTACTACAGGATGGACAAAAAGGGAATTTTACCAATAGAGAGGCAAAATAGTCCTTTCACCAGGGCAGAAGATTAGGGTTAGGGTTTGACCAAATCAGATCCTAAGTAATGAGATCACCACTGCAGCCACAAGATCCGGGCGGTTTCCGCCTTCTTTGCCACTCATCCTTATCACTTACAATCTATAAATAGTCATTGTCTACGAAATGTAATCATCAAAAATAA